GTCACAATTTATGTTTTTGTTGTCACAATTTACATCTTTTTATATTGTGTATCCATGAACGATTTCGTAGCTATAGCTATTTTTAATAATTTTAATTTTTTTATATATTTTTGTTGTCACAATTTACATCTTTTTATATTGTGTATCCATGAACAATTTCGTAGCTATAGCTATTTTTAATAATTTTGTCCTTTAAGCTTATACAAGAGTTAAGCAGTAACACACCATCTTATGACAGTATTAGAGTATTTTAAATCTGACTATATATTTATCACTTTAGAGTACTTTAAATCTGATCTTATATTTACCAGTATGTTGTATATTTTCATAAGTTTTTATGTTACTAATTGGCATGTTTTTGTTTCAGTTTGAAGAACTCTTTTCAGCATTTCTTGTGAGGTAGATATTATATAATGGTGATGTACTCCCTCAGTTTTTGTTGTTTGGCAAAGTCTTTATCTTGCCTTCATTTCTGATGGACAACTTTGCTGGATAAAGTATTTCAGTTGGCAGTTTTCTTATTTCAGTACTTTGAATAGATCATCCCACTCTCTCCTAGTCTGCAAGGTTTCTGCTGGGAAATTCACGGATATCTTTATGGGGTTTCCTTTGTATGAGAGAAATATTTTTTCTATTGCTGATTTTAAAATTCACTCTTTGTCTTTGATTTTAGACAGTTTTACTATAATGTGTCTTAGAGAAAGATCATTTTGGATTGAAATTCTGGGATAACATATTAGCTTTATGAATTTGGATGTACATATCTCTTCCCAAGTTTGCTATGTTCTCAGCCATTATTTCTTTAAGTAAGCTTTTTGCCCCTTTCTCACTCTCCTCCCCTTTGGGACCCCAAAGATGCTTAGATTGTTTCTCTTAATGGCGTCTCATAAATTCTGTAGCCTTCTTTTTTTCACTCTTGTTTCTTTTAGCTCCTCTGACTGGATAATTTCAAATGCTCTGTCTTCAAGTTCACTGATGTTTTTCCTCTGCTTGGTCCAGTCTTCTGTTAAAGATTTCTACTGAATTCTTCAATAGATAGTTCAATTCTATTGAACTATCATTGTATTCTTCAGCTCCAGATTTCTGTTTGGTTCTTTTTTGTTTTCTAGCTCTTTGTTGAACGTCTCATTTTGTCCTTGCATTGTTTTCCTGATTTCATTAAATTGTTCACCTGTGTTCTCAAAGAGCATCTTTGGAACAATTATTTTGATAACTTTGTTGGGCTATTCCTGGATCTCCATTCTTTGAGGTCAATGACTGGCGGTTTACCATATTCCTTTGGTGGAGATGTGTCTCCCTGATTCTTCACAGTCTGGTGTAGCTGTCTGCACATCTGAAATAATCCAGAAAAATTCCAGCCTTTATGGACTGACTTCAGTAAGGAAAGCACTTCATCTGCAGATGGGGACACACTGGAGTGTGCTGTGATCCTAGGTAAAGTGGTGCAGGGCATCAAGTGGTGGGCCACGTGGCATCTCCAGACACAGAAGGGCATGATGTCTCAGTGGCTCAGCCACTGAGGTCCACAACATTTACAACTGTGTGGTGTCTGGTGAGCTCTGTGGTGGTCCACAGTGGCTGCAAGGGCTGTTGGGGTCCTCAGCAGCACCTCCAGGTCCAGCAGCTGGGGACCAGGGCCGGCAGCAGCAGTGGCTAGAGCAGGTGGTGTGCATACCCTCAGCTGCAGGACCCAGCTGCAGGTGCCAGTGTAATGTCAGGAGCTGATGCACACACACACAGTGGCAAGGGCCTTGGCCAGCAGCAAGGACCAGGGCCAACTGCGTGTGCACTAGCAGCTGCAGGGGCCCTGACTGTCAGTGTGCACTCCTGTGGCTGCAGGGTCTCACCACAGGCACAAGCACAGCCATGGAGGCTGGTAATGAGAGTCAGGCCAGCAGGGTACACGTGCACAGCTGAAGGGGCTAGCGGCGGGTGAACCCCATGGTGCAGGCCAGTGACAGGAGACAGGGCTGGATCTGGGCCCACAGCAGCTGTGGGACCCTTGGCTGCCAACGTGCACTTTCGTGGCTGCAGGGTCTCGCCACAGATGCACACAGCAGTGGAGGCCAGCAATGGGAGTCAGGCCAGTGGTGTGCAAGCACACATTGGAGAAGCCAGCACCAAGCACACACACGTCAGTGAGGTCAGCCACGGGGACCTAGGCTGTTGTCTCGCATGTGTGCAACACAGAGGCTGGGACTAGCTGCCAGTGCAGGTCCCAGGCACCAGAGGCGACCAGGGGATGGGGGAGAGGTAATGAACAGCGAGGGACTCAGGCTAGTGAATGCCAATACCTGTGGGGTGAAAACCAGTGACATCTGCAGGGGGCGTGCTGGCTTCTTCAGTGGTGAAAGCCGTCGGGGTCCTCCGCAGAGCGAGTCACTGGGAACCACAGTCACTCCTGCTGTGTGGCCGATATTGGCAGCCACGGTTCTTCTTCCTTGCCCCCAGCCATCTTTATACATCTCAGCTTTGCCAGTTTCTGGGTGGAGTGAAATCGAGGTCCGTCCTTTGTGTAGTATCCTGACATCTGGTCACTCATCCCACTCTCCCTTTCCTGGCAAGGGGAACTCTTTCTAGAAGGGGAGCAGGGCCAGCCTGGGGGATGGTATGATGCAGGCAAAATGAAACTATTGTTCCTTCACTTTTTCTGTGGTTATTCTCTGGGTTTTTTTGCTCTACTATATTGCTGGAGTTTCTTACGTGGACTCCAGAGCTCTCCCAAGCTGTTTCTGTTCTTGGATAGCTGTCTAATTATTGATCTTTTTGAGGGATGTTGGCTGGGGTCTTCTATTCTGCCATCTTGCCACCTCCCTACCACAGGCTTTTTGAAGGAAAGTATCATATGTTATCCCAGGCCCTGTTACCTAGTGGGTATTCAGTAAATTAACAAATACAGAAACAAGGGAATCAGTCGATGGACATAGAAGTTCCTACCAAGATTTCTTAAGGCAATAAAAAAGAAGAGCAAAGAAATCACAAAGAAAACCCTCTCTTCCTAATCAGGCCTCAGGTCAACCCAACTGTTTCCCCTGTTTATCTAAATCCTTCCTTTTTCAACTGGTCGCTCTGGGAAAAAATTAACACAGCTTTTGCGCCCTTCTTATTGCTTCACCAACTCTCCCTGGGACTCAGTGGCCTGCAGAGCTCTTTACTAACAAATTAGTCCCAGTGTGCCCATGAGAGAAGTCTCCGTTCTCAGACTAGCAGATGGATGGGTTTTCCAATTTGACAGACTGACCAAACCCACACTCCACTGCTCAAGCAGGCATCTGTTGCACCGAAGCCCCGGGAGAACCACGAGCCCTTCTATGTGTTTGACCAACGATTTCAGCACTTTTATCTTATTTCAAAAGCCAAACTGAATCTTCCATAGCAAAGAGCTCCAGATTGGGTGGATTTATGCTCATCAGCATGTGGAGATCCAGGAGCTCACTGTGACACAGAAGGTCATTTGTTTAGTAAAACCACAAAAGCATAAAAGAAAAGAGAAACCGATGAGCCACACGGCAACAAAGTACATAAAGCAGCAGGAACCACACACACACCAATCCCATTAAGAAAACAGGAGGTCATTAAAGGGAAAAAATAAACAGCTTTAATGCTTCCATGTGGAATGGGTGCAGTTTCTCCGAGTCATTGTTTATGAAAATAAATTTACTTCTTTCCAGCAAGATATGTTAAATATATGTGTGTGGGGATAGGGGGTCTGGGCCTCTTTCTCAGTTGTTTAGACTTTCGTATTAATTAAGTCCAGATCAGTAGTTTAATTCTCACATGGCCTGCTTAGTTTCACTGAGGATAACTCAATGCATCACTCCAGATCACTTTGCTGCCCGAGGTCAGCCTTCGCTCTAAGCCAGCACCGACCATAGGCATCATGGGTGGACAAGCGATCCTTCTCCAGTTTGGAAAAGCATCAAAACCTTTATGCTTTAAATTGCTGAGTCATCATGCATCAATGTCACTTTTTTGTTTATGCCATACTATGGGCTGAATTGTATCCTTCCTATAATTCATATGTTGAAGCCCTAATGCCCAGTACCTCAGAATGTGACTGCATTTGGAGATAGGGTCTTTTTTTTTGGCCACGCCACACAGCTTGCGGGATCTTAGTTCCCCGTCCAGGGATTGAACGCAGGCCCCCCTGCAATGGAAATGCAGAGTCCTAACCACTGATAGGGTCTTTAAGAGCTAGTTAAGTTAAAAGTGGGGTAGGCCCTAATCCAACATAATTAGTGTCCTTCTAAGAAGAGGAAAGTTGGACACAGACACAGTCAGAGGGGAGACAATGTTAAGACACAGGGAGAAGATGGCCATCCACAAGCCAAGGAGAGAGGCCCCAGAAGGAACCAAATCTGCCAACAGTCTCAGACTTCTAGCCTCCAGGACTTTAAGACAATAAATTTCTGTTGTTTAAGCCATCCTGTGATACTTTATTTTTGCAGCCCTAGCACACTAGTACATGTCACATTTCCTTTAATTACCTTTGCAACCCCAATAGAATGCAAGCTCCAGGGAGGCACGAATTTTTCAAAGCCTGGATCACTGCTGTATTCCCAGTGTCTAAAATGATGCCTGGCGTAGAACTGGCACTCAATAAATATTTGTTAGAAAAAAGAGAAAGAATGAAGACTTAGATGACATCAGTCTAAAATACCATTTCTGAACTACATTTTCCCTCCCTCTTACTCTGGTCAAGCTAAATTCTGGTTATATTGTTTAAAAAAAGATTTGGAGAATCCGAACAACCAATAAATATAATGTACCATATTCAATTTTGCCCAGGAGATATACAGTCTAATCAGATGTGCACACATTTTCTGAACCTCCTTTCTCTTGGCTCTACACTGCTGGTGATAGATTCTGCCTTGTCAGACACAGCAAAAACCATCCTCTTTGTTCAGTTGTGCTGTGGCAAATCCACAGTATGAAGAGTCACCTCCAACCTCAAAGACTAGTGACTGTACAGGAGCCAAGGGGTCCTGTCTCACACTCACCCAAAATGCCAGCCTGGCCATCAGTCAAGGGAGCTTTTCATCAATGGCCACCTCCATCACTGCCTCTGACCAAAAGCATCTTCCTCTTCAAGTTAACAAGTACTTATTCAGCACCTACTCAGTGTTTAGCAATATACACAGCAAAAGGAAGTGGAAGAAATGGATGTCAAAAGCATGAGCCCAACCGTCAAGTTTAACGACATGGCAGGAAGCCGAGGCTGAGATGCAAGAAATCAAGAAAGCACATGGCCTGGAGACGGTAGGGAACCTGGATTAGACTTAGGAGACCTGCTGACCGTGGGCAAGTCCTCTCCCCTCTGCAGCCTAAGCTCTCTCATCTGCAAAACTGGGAGGGCAAGCAAGGCCTTCTGGAAGGTCTCTTCCAGTCTATAGGGCTGCGGATTCGTGATCATTCAGGCAGGCTGCCTTGCTTGGTTGCAAAGACAAGCAAGTTACCTCCAGGGAGGTGGTGGGTGAAGATAGTTATTGTCAGATACACAGGGGCTGGACATGAACATGGGAACCCCAGGAACAAGCAACGTGGGGTTGGTCTCTTGATCTCTCCCTCCATGGTTCTGATTCTCTCTGTGATTCACACAGTTCTTTTCTCTCTGCCAACATATTCAAATCTCCTGCTCCATCATAATCTCATTTTACACTTGGCTTTGGCCGTGACTCTGTCCTGACCCTCTGCCTCAGTAAATCACTGGTAAATCTTCCCCATGTTTAGTAGTTCCTGAGGAAGAACATCTGATTGTCCTCGAACATCTTTTTATACCAGACTGTAATCATAATCCAGCCCTGGGACACCGATGAGGCTAAGGCCCAGGCACCTTGGCACTAAGCCTGGCAGGTGAGGCAGCAGAGGCAATGGCTGGGCAGCTTCCCTTGGAAGAGGGGATGGTGGGTAAGGATTTGAGGGTCAGAGGTCGAAAGACAGGTAGAGTCCACAGGTGCTTAACACAGTGCGTCACCTGGAATGCAGGTTGGATTACCCCATAAATGATGGTACTTTATCTTCTACACCTTCCCTCTCAGCATCTATAATTAGACTGTACCGAGAGGTGTGTGGGTCCTTACCCTCTGAATCAAACCTTCTGGAGACGGGGAAAGAAATAACAGTCAGTCTCGCAGCCATAAATAATCCCAGGGCTATCCCACTGATGGGACAGGCCTCTATACACAGTGAGGACTGGGACAGGACAGAAAGACCCCTTGATGACAAATGACCTGGACCACTTGTGTGACCTCGAGAAAAGTCACTTAACCTTTTGGACCTTGATTTCTCACTTGTAATATGAGAATAAGATTCTTCCCACATCCTTTATTGAATTATAATGAGCAACAAAGGAGTAAACAGATTTTTTATGGCTTATAAAAGCATAAAGTCCTATGTACATTTAAATTAAAGAAATTAACAATAACTCTAATTAAATAAGAAAATAGTCTATATTTAGGCATAGAAAAAAAATAAAGACAAGAAGGAAATACACCAAAATGGTCAGTTATCTCCAGTAGATAATGGTAGTTATTTCTAGATGGTAAGATACAGGTGATTTTCATTTCTTCATACTTTTATCCCATATTTTTCAAATTTTCTACAATAAAAGTGTGATAAGCAGAAAAATCTTCTTTAAAAAATGTGTGGGTCAGTGAGATCTCTCTACCTTCCTTGGCGACACTAGCTGCCTTCTGAACGTTTTATCGTTCTGTTCCTAAGCATTTCACTTAGAGGCTGGGCAAAGAAAATAAAAGAAGGTCAACTTCAAATCGGTCAATTTCTGTGGCGTGTTTGCGCCCCTTTAAAAGGCTTCGCTGGAAAGAGAAGGCTGAAACCTCACAGCTGAAATGAGGCTTAGCCAGCGGGTTTGCATTTCAACTGTTCAGGCTGCCCTTGCTCCCTGCTACTAAGATTTCACTCTGCCAAGCTGTTTCATCTCATTTGGGGAATCCACATTATGTTCTCATGAAAATTACTTAAAAGAAAACAAAGTTTTCAGATCCTCAAGTAAGGAAGGACGATGTGTAAGTTTCGCACCTATGTGATTTATAAAGGGATATTGCATAATCGGACCCAACCCATCAGCAATGGGCATCTGACTGTCCTGGTAACAAAAACACACACTTTCATCGCTGAACTAAACATTTCTTGAGTCCCCACCATATGCCAGACTCTGTGCTACACAGAATATTATGGTGACAAAGACAGGCCCAGTGATCCAGCACCTAACACGGTGCCTGGACAGACAGGAGCTCCGGATCAACAGTCATCAACAGTCATTGAATATATGAGCATCTCTGCCCCTCTGGCTGTCCTCTTGCCCACAGACGTGGGCAGGGCTGTCTCCAAAGAGAATGAGAACACAGAGTCACACTGAGGAAAAGGGGCAAGTAACCAGGGGTGAGTCAACTTCATGCCCTTTTCACCAACTCTACTACTTCCAAAATGGAGAGAAGGGGACATTATTCATCCCTTTGGAATCAAATTAAAATCAGAGATAAAGGAGACACAGGAATGTCTCAAAAGCTAAAGTGTGTACCAAAGATAGGATATTAGATGGTACTAGGGAATCACAATTTTTTTGGAGTGACAATGTTATTGTGCTTATGTTTTGTTTTCAGGTTCTCAATGTATTCTGAAGCATTTAAGGAGGATATAAGTCTGCTGTTCACTTTCAAATAATCTGGGGGGCAATGGAAAATTGGGGACCTAGGACACAAGAGCTACAAGATCAGCAAGACTGGCTACTAACTGATAATTGTAGAAGCTGGATGACGAGGTCACAGACATGTCTGTACATGGAAACCAGCCAGAGAGCTTCAAAAATACTGATGCCTCTGTTCCAACCCCAGAGATGGTGAGTTAAATGGTCTGGGAGGTTACCTCGGCAGTGGGATTTTTCAAAGATCCCCAAGTGACTCTAATGTGCAGGAACCATTCGGTTTATGCTATTCTCTATACTTCTGTGTATGTGTGATTATTTGCAGAGCAAAAGTGGTTTTTTTGGTTTTTGGTGGGTTGGCTTGTTTGTTTAGTTTGATAATGCAATGAGAACAAAAGGTAGTTAAGCATATGAGGAAGGGCAAGGGGCAGGCCTGCTCCCCCTTATCTGAGGATAGAGGACTTGCTGGTCCCTCTCTCTGTTCTTTTTTTTTTTTTTTTTGCGATATGCGGGCCTCTCAATGTTGTGGCCTCTCCCGTTGCAGAGCACAGGCTCCGGACCGGGGCACGAACCCGCGTCCCCTGCATCGGCAGGCGGACTCCCAACCACTGCGCCACCAGGGAAGCCCCCTCTCTGTTCTTTAATCCCAGCCCCCTTCCACCTGCAGCTGACTTCCCACCTCTTGGTTCCTGAAGCAGGGTGGGAACATGCAGAGCATGGTGCCACCACAGGAACCCACTGACACCTATAGATGGCTCCACCCTCAAGCCCCAAAAGGAAGAAACCTGAGTGTGGAGTCTGGACCTCATGATGCAGCCTCCTGCCGCCCTCCCTCTTCCACTTAGCCACCCCCCATCCCACAGTCCCTGGGCTCCTTTTGTGACAGTGAATTATCCACTTTCACCTCCTGCCGGGAAGGGAAGGCCAGGGCTTCCTAACAGCCCCGTGACTGAGATTAATCATCCTTGGGTGGATGGAGGCTTTTTACCCACTCATTTCCAGCAGGACCTGCAAAGCCCTCTCACCTGGCTTCCCACAGACCCCCACGGACAGGCCCATCTGATGGGATAATGCTCTCTTTTAACCAGAATGTCTCAATAGTAGGTTTCATGTTCCCAGCTGTGCTCACGGTGGGCATGTGATTTTTCTTTCATGAAAATGCTGTTATTATAGAACCCTAGGCTCACCACCCTCCCTACAATAGTTCACTATTATTTGTGGGGGAATGGTACTTTGGAGAAGGATTTGCATGTGGTTCTCTAAAATGAGCCAAGCCTGGCTGACAATCAAAGGCCTCCACACAACCATAACTCCAGCCAGCCTCCAGACATTCACCAGACCCCTGGCTATGGCCAGAATGTGAGAGGACCCCCAAAGTGAAACAGAAAACCCAGCGGACTAAAGAGTGTTTTCTTTCCTTCATTCTTCTTTAGTTAAGCTCTTCATAGATGTCTGTCATTGTTGGGGAAGCAGCCTCTGAGGCCCTCTCAGCCCTCAAAAGGGAAAGGAAATAGCAGGTATGAAGAACCCGTTGAGTGCCACTGTTCTAGACACTTACAGTGGAGGTTGCACCTCCAATGTCCATAGGGTCAGAACACGGGAAGCAAGTTGACTTGGGCGAGCACTTGGGCATGGTGGGGACTGGGGTGCACACTCTGTCTCAAGGCAGCCACGACTTAGTGTCAGACCACAGTTTCCTGCAGAAATATTGGCTTCATGTAGCCAAATCTATTTTTGTCAGAGGAGCTGGAAACCTAGAATTCCAAGTGAGTGCAATCTCTCCATTTTTAAATGATGGTAAAGAATTCCATTTTTAGAAAAAACATGGTGGCTAACCCTGTACATTCCAAACTACAGGTGTGTTTGGGCTGGACCCCTCTGGATTGAAATCTGCTGCCTCTGTTTGTATGTCAATCTCTCTCTACTCCTTCCCCAAATACCCCTTAGCCAGTCCCCTGGTCCCCAGGGCACCCCAAGTGAACTTCTGGTAGGGGTGCTTCTCCTACTGCATGGAAAACTTCCATGGACATGTTGGTCTCCCCACCTGACTGCAAGGGACCAGGGCTCATTGTCTGGGCACCCTCAGTGCCCAGCTCGTGCCTGGCATATAGGTCTTGAATGTATGTATGTTTGTTGCATGAGTGGATGAATGAATGAATCCACATTTCAGTTACTCCTCATTACCAGCCCATGATGCTGGTGTTCTTATCCTCGTCACACAGATAAGGAAACTGAGCCTTAGACGGGACGAAGAACTTGCCCAGAACCCCAGCTCCCACCACATCTGCCCAAACCCAAACCTGTGCTCTTTGGGCTGCACCCACCGCTTTCTCCATGTCATTTTTCTCCTCGCGTGCCAACATTCTGTACCTA